CCCAGCCTCCCCCCGCCTAAGCGCAAAAGGTGACACGGTGGTGTCGGTAGAGATAAGAGATGGAACATTAACGCATTTTCGTTAGACAGTCTGTATTTAGGGCAGCTCGTGGTGGTGTTTGTCTCCCACGCGGGGCAGGAGTGACGGAGGAGACCGGAGGAGCCGGGCCAGGCTCTGGCTGGGGATGGAGGAACTTGGATGGAGTCGTGCTGAAGGAGGTAGTGCTGGAAACGACACGTAGTCCCCCAAAATTCACCCATACACACACACACATGTGCAGCAAACATCAGGAGCAGCCGCTCATCCCCACCGACCTGGGACCCCATGGCACCACCCGCCGCGGCGCTCACAGGGGGTGTCACCGGCCCCAGAACATCCCTGGCCCCACGCCCTTGTTCCCTGAGCTTTTACAGGGACCAGGCGTGGGTACAGACCTAAACCTGCCTCTGCTGCAGGGATGGTTGCCCCGAAACCGTAAGTGCCGGAGGAAAGCAGCGATGCCCACGGTAGCGTAAAAAACCAAACACCATCAGCCACATTAAACAGTAACTGGGCGATTTCAGGGTGACCGGTGACAAAAAGTGGCTGGAACAGGGTCATTAAAAAGGAGCAATTAAAAAAGGAATATAAATGTTTATGACCATGGGAGGAGACCTCTCGGAGCAGGGTGGTGGTACCAGGTGTGGCCCCAGCACCCAGCACCCACGGGTGGCACGGGGTGCCCCTGGCTGCCCCCACCCTGCGTTGCTGCCTTTGTCCCCCACGGTATACATCAGGAAGTGACTTGGAAAGGAGCCTGGGGCTGGGCTGGTATCACGAGCCTCCACGCCCAGCCAACTATATAATTTAAAAGTAGCAATAAAAAGTGAGATAAAACCCTGTTTTGGGACGGTAGCATGTGCCTTCTATATGATGTGACCATGTTGGCTGGTGGCATGACCCTGGGCTCTGGGTTGGTGTCCTAGGATCTGGCACTGGGGGACTGGGGAGCTGACCTGGGAGGGCACTAGGAGACGAGGCAGTTCCTTCTCTTCCCACGGCGCCGGGGGCCCCTGTCCCCCCGGGGAGAAGTGACCGTCAGGGGGATGTTCTGGAGCACATCGTGCAGCGTGAACATGCTAAAAGAGATCTGCTCGTAGGGCGACCGTGTCCCGTTCTCATAGAGGCAGGCGAAAGCGATGGCCGGGCCACCAGTGATGGAGGGCTCGTTGTAGGGCAGCTCCATGTAAGCCAGGTCTGAGTAAGCGCTCGGGCCCTCGTAGATGACCCATGGCTCAGTCCAGCTCTCCACGTCCCTGGGGAAGGTGCTCAGGTGAACCCCCATGTTGACCCGTGACATGGAGCTGGTGGGGTGGGAGTAGAGGACCCACGTCGGCGCTTGGAAGAAGGCAGTGGGACTGGGGCTCACTGCGGGGTCCCTTCGGACCGAGGTGACACTGCTGGCATGGCTGAGATGCTCTGCGGTAAGAAAGCCCTCCTTAGGCTCGGCTGGCTCATGGTGGCTACTAGTGGCCACGGTGGGCAGCTCATCACCTGGTGCCTGCTGGGCAGGCAGGTACCGAAACCCTGGGAGCATCCTAGGGAGCAGCTGGCGAGCTGAGCCCTGGAGAGACATCACAGGGTCCTGAGGGGCAGTGGGGACATACACGAAAGGTGCAGGGAAGCCAACGACGCTG